TAAGGCCTACTAACAAGTCAAGTCGAAATTAATTAATAGAATTCCTTGTCTTGCAGTCTGCAAAGTTTGAAGCCAATCAGCCGAATAAAATTTGAGTTATCATGGTAACAAACTGTATAGCAAATATAGTTTTTTTGCCGACTAAACAAAGTAAACAATTGGATTTTAATTAGCATACATGATATACACGAATACCAATAGGGTTCATCTTCTTATTGTACTCTTCTTGCACCCTGCAAAGTTTGAATCCAATAAGGCTAATAACACCCGGAAACCAATAGCGTCCCTGAGCTTTGCCTTTGAAGGCTAATAACACTGGTGTAGCAAAAACTGTAACAGCCATGACCACCTGGGATGGTGCCCACATGTGACCTTCCACAAAATATCATTTACTTTTTAGAAAGCCTTCCTTTTTTATTGGCATTACAAGATTGTTCCTTCATAGATGTACAAATAACCAACCCTACCATGAAGTATTTTCAGTGTCTTATAGAAAATGTACAACACTGATGTGCCACAAATTATAAACCTTAAAATGTTTTTTAAATTTGTTGTCACAATATTTTGTAACAAATTATGTACTACCAGATAATTAGATAATTGCAATGCTCCATTATTTCATTTTCAAAAAATCATGCTGTAAACATAAAGTAATTAGCTGGTTTTTGTTAATTGATTGGTTTATCCAAAACAGATATATAAGAAAATGTTACAATTCTCTAATGAATGGGAAGTACATGTAATGAATTAAATTTATCATTAACTCAAGAGTAGATTGATAGTAGTGTCATGCTATAAATATTTTACGTTTAAAAACAATACAGTAGTACTTTCCTTGTAGTTGATGGTGAGTCATGGTATGTGAAGGTCCCTATATAGGCTCAGGAATGGAGAAAGGTTAATGGTTTGGTGTCATGTCCAGTCAATGGTTGAATGGATACCTTAAGTCCCATATATTCTAAACTATGATATAGGTTATGATCGGCATTAATCATACTTTTAGTTAATCCTAATCATCATCATCACTATTTATTGAATTTATATTATTATGTTACATTAGTTATATAGTATAGTAGTTATATTATACACTTATTCTTATTATCACACTTATTATTATTATTAATTATTGTTATTACCTCCGACAAGGAGGTATTGTAATCGGGTTGATTTTTGCTTGGTCAATGACAAATGTATGTGCAATTCTGCTGATTTTGCTTAGTTGCTATGGACGATAAAAAGAGTGTTGCTATGCAATTATATTAAAGTTTCAGCATTTTTTTACATAATCCTATTCTACGATAATAATAGATAATTCAGATGTTAAACATATTCATAAAACCTATGAAAATAAAGAATTTAATAAACTTTAATCTTCCTGTATACTTAAATTTCATGAATAAAATAGGAAATTTAAATTTGCATAGCAACGGTTGCTATGGTGATTGAAATTGTAGTTTTTCTTAACGCAAGATTCATTTTGATAATTAACGACTATTTTGAGTAAGTTTCACCAATTGCTGATGATGATTATTCGAGTGATGTTATTTTTTATATAATTTAGCTAAAACTATAATTTAAAGCGGAAAAATGGCGGCCATTTTGAATGCGTAATTTGGAGGCGTTCCCCCAAAGGGATTTTGGGTAATTTTGAGTTCTGAACTTCTCAAGACCTATATTTTCAGAAAATATCAAAATTAGCCGGTAGTACTTCCATTGCCACCTCGACGATTTTTAGAGGACTTTTTGGCCATAATCTGCTCGCCTATATCCCTCACCTCCGCTGGTGGCGCCGACACTGATGTTTCCGACTTCAAATATAAATACCTTTTTTGAGAAAGTGCAGATATTACATGGTATTTTCTTCTTACTGATTTGAGTAGACATACATTACATTATAAACAGAGGAAAACAATAGAAAATTCACTCATAAATACTGGGCACGGTGTTCGGCGGGGGTAGTTTTTACCATGTCACTTTTTAATAAATTATATTATAAATAAAATTAGAAATACCGGGGGTTACTTGTGCGGGGATAATTTTACCTGCGTTATATTTACTGTAACTAATACATTGTTTACAATTTACTACTACATTTTCTACTCTGAGCCGACCCTTACAATGCTATTTTAATGTAAATTTTATGTTTACAAAATGACTATAAAAGGATACTGATCCAACAGCTCTACCTCCCATACTACCGAGGAGACAAGGAACCTTTCCGCTATGCCCTAACCCTTAAGAATATTGTGCAAAAAAAATAAATAAAATAACAACAACCCTATGCCTGGAAATAGCATCTGGCAACCTATGACACTTCCCCTAGTGGGAGACTAGATACCCTACCTTGGGGCAAAGGTGAGCAAATTTTGCTAAAATCAAAGATTTCAATTAATTCCTAAAGGGAGCTTCAAATGCATAGGCTAATAGTGCACTACAAAACACGATATGGTGAAACATTCGAATGACATTGTGCAAAAATTATTAATATAATTTGTAGGTAAAAGTAAATATATTTTGCCGACGGCCCTGCCAGAAAAAAAAAAACCAAACAAAAAACTGATTATTAAATTTTAGGATTTATTGAAATATACCAGTTTGGTATTTCACACTCAGGCAATTGTTTAACATGTCATGAGAAATTAATTAATATTACATAATTCAAATGATGGTGCAGAATTCATTCATAATAATAAAAATCATTCAAAGTAATCCTAAACCATCTACACGATTGATTAGGTCATGTTTAATAAAAGATTACATTTCAAAAAAAAAAACATAACACAGTATTACATATAGGATATGTATTTGGATGTCAACCACAAGTTGAGTACTGTATTGGAATATAAATAAGATTCAAGTATCACAATGGTCGATCTGTTCTTTTGCATTATTAAAAAAAAGTTAACCTATCAATAATTGACCTTTCCAGAATGTCAATCAAACTTAACAACTGACCAATCAGAACAGTTGGGAGCTTTCGATTGCACGACGGCGTAGAACGTAATAACGTCACTAAAAGTCATCTACGCATACGAGCAAGTCACCTCGTCGAGTAGATTCTGGAATGCAATTTGGCCAAAAATCTACGTATGCGGAGAACGTAGGACGCCAGGTAGGACGGTCACGCATGAGTGGTTCCGTTCTAGCGTCGCACAAATCGAAAGCTCCTAATCCACTAGGCGAATTTATTCGCGCAAATCAGAGCGTCGGTTCGCTTCCTGAGTTCTGATTGGTTGTGCATTTTTTCGCTTCGCAAACGCTCCGATAGAAGTGTGAATGCGCATGCGCATGAACCGACGCTTTCGATTCGCGCGAATAAATTAGCCTAGTGGAAAACCGGATTTAGTACCAAGAATATACGCGTGTCTAACATTGTGTTGTCCCACAAGCACACATGTTTACGTACATTTAAGATATCGTTGTGTGGGACCTCAGCAGCGATATCCAAGGAGCTTTGCTTAGCAGAAAGGTCCATTACAAAAATTCCCTCATATAATCACAGTTTACCAATACCTAGGCTAGCAAAATATCGAGTGGCTTAAGAATTATAACAACAATGTTTGGCAATATGGGCTAGTAAAGCTAATTGAACAAAAATCATGGACTAACAATATTTGGCAATTGGGCTACTAAATTAATTTAACCTGGACCAAAAACTATCAACATTTGGCAACTGGGCTAATTAATTGAATTTGGTCTATGGACTACCAATATTTGGCAACTGGTCTATTAAAATGGATTTTGTTCCATGGTCTACCAATATTTGGCAATTGGGCTACTAAACAATTAATGAACATGAATCCTGGACTACCAATGTTTTGGTAACTACATGTGCTCTAATTAAATTTGAATTTGGATCATGGACCATCGATATTTGGCAATTGGGATAGTACTCTAATAAATGAACCTAAATTGCAGACTGTTCATGATAGAATTACTAATCTATACATTAGGAGCGCACCATGGGCAGATTGCAGGGGAAGGGGTTTTCTCTAAGGTTTTCGAAAATTAACACTGAGGGTTGGTGAATTACATTCAAATTTTGTGCCATTTTAAGACTAAAGGGACACACAATTTTTGTATCTCAGGCCATATTATGGTAGAGCTGAGGTAGTTTTAAACCTCCATCAGCAAAAGCCCCTCTCTAAACTCACTCTATTTCTCATTTCTGATCAGCTACTATATTCTACGGACACACAGTAGTGATTCACTTTATAAAGAAATTAACATATAGGGTAGAGAAATCAGTGTTCATGGATTTTTTTTGCTGGTAAGTACAGAAGATTTCTATAATTTTGAACAGGAATGTCTATGTCCTTTTTTTTGATAGATGAATATCATCCTTCATTGCCAAGAATAACCTAATTGTCTAGTACACTTCACAATAAAATGTCATTATATCTCTTTTTATAATTATTATTAAACTTATTTCAAAACGATTCTTATTCTGCCTAATAATAATTAATAATTGTCAATTTATATAGTGCATAATATAAAATACCTCTATGCGCTTTAATTAAGTAAGAATGTGAATCATTATATAAACAAAAATTAAAAAATATGTTACTTGACTGAAATCAAGGTTGCCATTTTAAAAGTCAAATTCAATTATAATATAAAAAAAGCCTGAGTTAGTTGTTATGAATGCTTACAATATAATAATGTTAAGATAATATTTGAAAATCACAAACAAATTCAACTGCTTGAAATTACAGAAAGAACCATGATAAAGTGCCATCCTACAGAGTGAAGATAGATTAAGTGCAAATATACAATGCCTGTCTCACCTCAAACTCATAATTTATATGTGACTCATGTTGGTAACAGCATATTTCTATGGCAAAAAACAGGTATTGAGATAGTCACTAAATAAATTACTAAAGGAAAGTGCTAAAAGAAAATTTAGGAAATCAAGCTAAATTTCCAGAATCGAACATCCACGGAAATTGTTTGAAAAAAAAAATTCTATCAAAATTGCTAATAATAGAATAACATGACTTCATTAAAAAAAAAATCAATTGAGTAGCAAAGACATGGTCTAGCATTTAACAATTAATTTAGAGGAAATTGTGTACAAATTTGGTTACTATGGTTACAATTAAATATAATTTGCATAATAATTAAGTTCAAACATCTCAACTTCATAAACATTTTTTGAATAATAAATTTGCATTAAGGAATAGATCTACTTTCCTTAAGGAATCAAATATCTGTCTTCAAACATTTGCTTCCTTAAGAATTTACACAATTCAATTTCTTAAAAGAATGGAAACAATTTTTAAATAAAACCTGTATTAGGAAATACATATGCTTCCCTTTGAGAAATCAAATACCTGTCTTCCAGAAGGAATCAAACATTTGCTTTCTGTAAGGAATATTTCTTCTAGAACAAAAAGAATTAAGTATTCATTTTTTAAACTAGCAATCATGCCTCTTCTTTACAGCTTGATTTCAACCAAATTACTGTAGGTGTAAATCGCCAACAGCTGTTGAGGTCTCTGCAACCATTTTACGGAAACACTCAAGTAGGTTCTGATCTGTTGGAAACAAATCAGAGAACTTTTCCTTTGTATCGATGACACCAGTCAATGGAGCATTTGCAATGGGAAATGCTTAGTGACAGCAATTTTATGGAAAACAGGCTTATAAGGAATCAAACACGCTTATAAGGAATCAAACACACACAAGCTATCAGGAAGCAGGAATATCTGATACCAAAAACACAGTTACAATTAAATTTTCCAATTAAACAAATTTCTGAAAACTCACCTATTCAATTATCAAATATTAAAACCTTAAAATGTGCTGGAATAAAACTGTTATCATGTGACTTACTTCTTTGCAAGGAAATCTATGTACAAAGATTTAAATCCATGAAGGCAAACACTGTAATAACTTTAAGAGTAACAATCAAACAGGGACAAACAGTACAATACCAAGCTAAAGTGTACAGTAAATTCACCAAGATATGCATTCTATATTTCAAACAATGCAGCATAATTCACCAATGCACTTACACACGTTTTTCTAACAATGTACCACACAAATTCTATCAACAACAAAAACCAATTCTGACCTAAAATGATTACATCTGCCAAATATTCCCTCAAATATCAGCCTCTAACATTAATATTCACATCATAAATACTTGTAATAAATACGGACTTTATATATCTTTACCTTCACATGTCTAGCACATTATTGTGATATGTCATACTTGAGTGCATCACGAAATAGCAAATTTGATAACTCGGCATACATTGTGTAATTAACATGAATTACACGACTCAACCTTGCACTGTATCACACACACATTATCATATTTGATATACAGGGGTAGTCGATTGCACATTAATGCAATTGACATTCTTCAAGACATCATATATTAAACTGATTGATAACATCAATATCAAACAGTAAACTGGACTGAAATTCCACAACATAGCTGTGTACAAAGATAGCATATAATGATGAAATTAAATTAAAGCAAGTGTACCATCAAGTAACAGGAATGACATGCCTTTACTTTGCCGTGTCTCATGCATTAATGTGACCCACATACCTCAATTTGGTCGTGTCTCATCGCATGTTAACATGATTGACATACCTCAAAATGGCCGGGTATCACACATTAGAATATTTGGTAAATAATATTATAATATTACCAGTGCATCCTGCAGTGCCTCAACATGTACCATGCATTAACATGTTTGTCATAGTTAGTAAAATAGACAGTGTATCATTCAATAATGCAAATGACACAGTTTAGCCGTCGCATTAACAAATTTGGCAACCAGAATTGTATCACGCATTAACATGCCTTAACCTGGTTAAGGCACACACATTAACATGGCCGTGTATCAAGCAATAACATGCCTCAACCTAGCAGGGTGTCACACATTAAATCGCCTTAACCTGGCTGTGTATCATGCACTAACATGCCTTAACCTGGCCATGCATCAAATATTAACATGCTTAACGTGGCCATGTATCACGCATCAACATACCTTAACCTGCCAGTTTATTGCGGCATTAACATGTCTTAAACTGGCCATATATCATGCAATGACATGCATTAACATGGCCATGTATCGTGCATTAACATATCTTAACCTGGCCATGTATTGTGCATTAAGTCTTAAACTGGCAATTTATTATGCACTGACATGCCTTACCATGGCCATGTATCAGACATTAACATATCTCAACCTGGCCATGCATCACACATCAACATATCTTAACCTGGCTATGTATCACGCAGTAACATGCCTTAACCTGGCCATGCATCACATATTAACATGTTCGACACACCCTGGCTGTATAACACGTATTAATATGTCTGCCAACAAGGGCATGTATCGCTCATTAAAATGCTGTGTATCAAACATTAACTTAATATTTTTTAAAATCATACAAACAGCTTTTAAAGCTTAATTCATTGGTGATTGCTGAAATTTCCTTTTTAATTTTCTTCAAATTTTTCTCGTTTTATCTTTGGTTCCTCCTTCATGTCTGCCTCTGGAAAAGAAAACATGTAAAGTGTAAAAATCTATAAATTACAAAGGTGTATGTAGTATAGTAAATTTAAGTGAATAAAATTAAAAATCTATAAATTTATTTTAAAACATTTATACATGTTATTGTATTCGGAAACGTTTTATTCAAAGAATGAATATCATGATCTATCGAGCCCACAAAGACACATGTCAACCAATGACAATGATTTAAGCCAATATCTGCGCTAATAAATTTTCAATACAGAACATTAAAAATCTTTTCTATTGCCGAAATGTGTTTATCTAACCCTGAGCTGATATCTATTGTTAGCGAAGGCCACATGAGGAGGTGATATCGGGAGTGGCATGTATTGGATAAATGAAAGCAGCTGAGATTGCTGCACCACAGGTTGTGAAAGGCCGTACCAACCATCTGCTCATTGCCGTATTTACCGGACCTTGCAAAAGTGTTACACTTGAAAGGGAAGTAACTATTTATATTGGATACTTATAGTTGATCTTCCAGTGATTTATTAAATCAATTTAATCACTGACAATAAAAATTAAGAAACAGGTAATCAAAGTATTTCCCCTACCCAACTCGGACACTCTTCGCTTCAAGACTGCAGTGAGTTCAACCATACTGTCTGGAAGACGGAGATTAGCTGATGATGGCATGGCAGGGCCCTTGCCGCTTGAACTATTGTTCCTGTAAAGGAAAACATTGAATGAATATAAAATAATACAATTTATTGGAATACAAATTTGGCTATTTTCAGGTGACCATTCAAGAAATGGTGGCTCCAGAATTGGTAGATATGGTCCATAAACAATTGGTCCAACTGAGGAGCCGCTATGGTCTACAGCTAAAGGGTATTCCACCTTCTGTTGGCCAGTTCATTCTGTGAGACCAGCAGCGGGCTGACATAATTGTACACTTCCAGTTTATTTTACCATGACAGCCCCACCCACCCCGACGAGGGGGACAATGCTCTGACCAGGGGGGTCAGATTTCCCCGACGAAAGCAAAGTGGCCGTGGTCAAGCTTCGATTAAAATGCTTCGAAAGTGTTTGATTAAAAGGCTTCGAAAGTGTTCCTGGGGCCGAAGCCCCCAAAAATTTTGACAATTTAGGAGTTTCAAAGGCTTATTTAATCGATTTTATAGTCTAATATGTAGAACATACATATAATTTTTTTCTCCCCGACGAATTGTGCTTTTTCTCCCCGACCGGGAAGGGGGGGGGGGGAATGGGCAGCTCTCCTCGACGGGTGCCACCCCTGACAGCACTTTTTTTAGTCCAATAAATTCAGTAGCATTTAATAGTGTCATATGGCTTACATTTTTTGACTGCATTTTTAAAAGTCAGTATTACTGAATAGGGAACTTGAAGTTTTTAGTATATAATACTGCAAGCAATCATTTAATAACTTAAAGTTTATGGTCAATATTTTAAAAAAAGTTGACAAAGTTAATCTAGGATTAACTGTAGTCATGAACTAGTTAGTCACACACTGCAAAATCATGATTTCATAGAGAAGGCCACATGACAAGGCATTTGTGATGAATCGTCTTTAATGAAGACTTTAATGAAGAGCAGAGAATATTTTTAGTGTCAGCTCAACTCACTATTAAAAGCAGTAAATAATGCAAAAGTACAACATACTACACACAGCTAGGTACTGCATGACACTTACTGTTGCATATTATTTTTGTTAGCATCTTCAGAGCTTTCCTCCAAATCTACTTCAAATTTGAGCCTTTTTTGTGAGCTTGATCCTGACTTGTCTCTTCCACGTCCTTGAACAACTTCATTAATCTGCCGAAGCTTTTCTGTGCTCTAAGAAAAGATTTTATTCCATTTAAGATTTAATTAAATTCTGTTTATTATTTTACTGATATAATCAGATTCATTAAAATTTATCAGTGACATCAACAACTGGTAGAAAGGGGAATCAATAGACACGCTTTACAATAGGCAAATTGTGGTCTATATAGGTAAGAGAACGCCCCTACCCATGATGAGTTCCTGGTTCCCTCTGACAAGGAGGGATAGTACCTGAAAGGGTCCCATCCTGGGTTACAGAAAATATAGTGCTAAAACTTAATTTTAAATAAATCATAAAAAATTAAAAACTTTTCAATTAAAAACAATGAAAAGAAAAGCCACACATCCAAACTTTTGTGCACTGGTTGCAAATCATATTGTGCTGGATGGACAGGAGCCTTCAGCATTGAAGTTTGTCCATTAATGGAAGAAGAAGGTCATATAACACCAGCAGCATCTTCTTCACCAACATTTCATTATAAATGAGTACTTTAAAAAATAAAATTATTCATCTCTATTGTCTTCATGTTTCAAAACCAAAACCATTATGGAATCATCATCACCATCGACATAATATATTTATTAGTAAGAAAAAACACACAAAAACAGAAAACAAAACTTTGTTTTTCTCAAGCCCAACCAATTCTTGAAAATCTGGGATCTGCTAACATCATTGTCAGAAACCTAATCACCACCACCATCACCACTACCATCAACATAACCATCACCACTACCACCAACACAACCATCACCGCTACCAGTATCACTATCATCCGAAACCTCATCCTTATTCTACATACTCATCATCTATGATCATTTCGTCACTCACATCACGAACTGTGTTTTTTTTTGTGTGGTAAAGAATACAAAAGTGCTTGACAACCAATACGCACTCGTTTTGACGTGCTACTCTCATTTCACGAACTAACACAATCTACTTTGATTGTGTTAGTTCGTGATGTGAGCGACGATTTAAAGAATATTCAATCATCACAAAATGATGATTATCCCATGCATTTTCTGGCACTGTTTGCACGTTGAATTTTCTTACCTCTGGCCCGCTTTCACCAAAATTGTAGAGGAGCTTGGATGTTGGTGTCATCTGTAAGTGGTCTATAGGAAGTGGGCTCTTGAAAGGGGAGTCTTTCATTGGAGAGATATACAGATTGCTTTTGCCTGGGACACTGTAAAAAAAACCATCAGGAAAAAATATTAAAATATTTATCTAGATCATTAGCTTTAAAAATATCAAATGCAAGGAATCAAATTAGACCACAACTTGGTATTCAATCTTTTTTTAGTGTCCAAAATAACTTGAAAAAAAAAATGCTTTATCATTCTGTCATTTTAATCAAACTGCTGGTTGTAGCGGTGACCAGTTGATCAGCGCATGTGCATAGCTGCATGAATGAGAATGATTTGCTAGTACGAGCACTGACACTGTTCGATGAGATGAATAAATTGATTGTGGTTGATGAACTTAAGTTTATTACATTAGGTAGGCCTATAACTATTATCATACTGTAATTTTGGTTCTGAGAAATGATATATTTCACTAAGTAAGATGTATTGTTATGAAATTATATTGATAGTTTTGCCTATGTCTAGAATAGGGAGAATGAGGAAGACACTGAAGGCAGAATATTACCATTCATGCCAATGAAATCACTACGTTCTTTACATCTATCTAGCTACCTCCCTGTAGATTGTAGAATGCAGCCTATATAATGCACCACCTATCAGAAGAGACTTAAAGCCATTTAGTTTTCTGTGTAACATGGCCTATGAGCATGTTAAAAAACAGTTTCTTCAGGAAAGGACAGGCGATTGTCTCTCATTTTACAGTCCAATCCACCACAAGATGTGTCTCTACATAGCAGCTCACACAGGTCTCCATGAGCCTAGCAGGGGAAGATTCAATGACAGTAAGATCTAGAACGTAATTGTGTAACACCTAAAGTCATCTGTGTCAGATAAAGACAATGTTGACTTCTTATCTTCTGGGGGATGCAGTTTGGTCCAAATCTATGTTGTGCACAAAATGCAGGATGTTAATGAGTCAAACAAAATAAAAACTTACACATAAACTTGAGGTCCTTGAGATGCTGTTCTGGACCGTGATGGTACTGGCGATAAATTTGGAGTCTAAAATGAAAGATTTGAACAACATTTAATAGAGTAATAAGTTCTTCTTTATATATATATATATATATATATAAAAACATATATTGCCTTGGTTTGGCTCTGTAATCATTAGTGGTAGTGGGACTGGTTTGGGCCCTTCCTTGGAGAGAGGTGAACGTAAATAAAGTGCCTTGCCCAAGGGCAGAAGCAATGCGATGAGCGTCGGTCTCAATCTCACAATCAGAAGTCCAACATCTTACACGCTGCGCCACACACTCAACAATTGTATTTAAATTTTTGTGAGACAAACTAATCCAAGCTCTCTATCCCTTGGGCCATGAACAATGTCATAGAGAATAGCACTATGAGTAATGTAAAGATCATGAAATTGTCTTTGACAAAAATATGTTGTATGCCCATATATAGTAATGATGTGCCTATATATGGTCATGTGATGATTGTGACAATATTTAGGCATGTCATATGTCAAATAAAACTTGACAGTCTGGCCAGGGCTTAAGAATTGCACCATGAGCAATGTATGTTGGAAAGATACTATGAGCAATATCTGTTGCAATGAAACCACAGGCTAAACTGTTGAAAGAACATAAGCAATGTCTGTTAACATGGTACCATGAGCAGTACTGTTGTGGACATGCATTAAAACTGTTTTATTCATTTCAAGTTCAATTCAGATTATCAAATTTTCTGTAACAAACAACTATTGTATGCCCATATATAGTCATGATGTGCCCATATATAGTCTTGATGTGCCCATATATAGTCATGATGTGCCCATAATTATATAGTCATGATGCGATGTCATCATCACCATATTTGGGCATGTCACATGTTTTTTTTTTGTCAAATTCGTTAGTCTGGACAGGGCTTAACAAATCAAATGATTGACTGACTGAGCACTGATTAATATATATTGTTGACAATTTGGGTCAAAGGGAACTTACAGACTGCCGGGAGGGCTGGAATTGAAGAACAAATGTCTTCAGAGATGGCATGAATATTCGGTTGTAGAAAGAAATGATGGAATCAAATTCACCCTCTTCCACCAGGACTTGTTTATACACCTGTATAGAAAATAATAACACTTTCAAACATCAATATCATATGAAAGTGATAGAGATGTTCACATATTTTCTTTACAATTATTTCTAAGAACTTCAATATTATGGGTTAAAACTGCTTTTTCCTGTCATTCTCCCTAGCCAGCCATAGCAAAGAACAAATACATAAAAAGTTTTTATATAATAATTTATATAGTGCACCTATCTATTTCAGAAAAAATTGATCAAGGCACATTTTGCATGGTTACTGGAAGTAAAATCAATCTACTGTTATCAGCCTTGGAATGCCCAACATTTGATTTAAAGGCTAACTCAGACAGCGTGCTATGAAGCAGCCCAGACACGAGTTATCATTGGAAGCCTTTAGGTCATTGTGATTATCCGACTTTCCGCAATGCAGACTCATTTGGTCTGTGGTTTAACACTGCAACAACAAATCGTGTCAGACTTTCATATAGTTGCACAAAGCTGTCTGAGTTGGCCTTAAAAAAACTCAATGCCTACAGTTCTGTGTCACATGCCTTTAAATTATGATCAATGCTATAACTATGGGAAATGACAGAAGTACTCCCCCACCCATGTGAAAGTTTGTACAATACTCTCCATGGGGGAAAATGCAATAGTTAGAAATCATCCCACTTTCCCATCTCCTCCCCAGCAGACCCCATGTCAATACTACTACCCAACTGATTATGAACATGGTGTGGAATTGCAGAATTAATCTTACCGTCTGAGAAGCATGCGGCTGCATCCTGTAGACAGCAACAATGTTCTTAAACTTCTTCTCTTGCTCAACTACTTTACATATTGCATAGATACTGCACATCATTATCTATGTCAGAAAAATATAAAAACAAAATCATAAGCAAAATTAAGGACTGTTTGACTTGTGTTGAAGCAGACACTGAATGAGAGAGGGGTGGTCAAAGTGGAAGCGTTTTTGTTTGCAGCCCGGCCATGTTTTTTTATTTATTATTTTTTTTTAGTTAAAAGTTTTACACATTCATATTTTTTAAACTTCAATTTATACTTTATTGTTGCTATTAAAGATTATTTGTATTACCCACTTCACAGACCATTAAAAGTACAAGCTAGGACATCTCAGCCACATCTAGCCTAAGTTTGCTATTATATTTTATTCTCCTCCAACAGTGATAGTAGGATGAAGGTAATGCTCCACAAGCCAAGTACTGTATTACTATAAGGCTTAGTGGAGGTGTTTTTTTTAATGAAAAAATGTTTAAATTTTGTTTTTCCTGTGAAAATCTTATTACTTTTAATGTATCATATAATAATTCAGCACAATAAAACAGAGATATATTTAAGCTAAAACAGTGGCAAACCTGATCTAAATGTCTATCTTTGAGTAACAACGGCTTGTGGAGGATACACTGTTCTAAGCAGGTCCAAATTTTCAGAATCTGCAAAACAAACAGAGAAATTATTTTTTGAATATTTATAATTATACAATCATAGTAATAATCATAATTTCATATTATTTTTAGCATTATTTGATATAGAATTCTTATTCAAATGGGCTGAATAATTTCACTGTCTTATAGTATAATTAACATTTTTTTCTTTGACAAAAAAACTGTTGTATGCCCATATATAGTCTTGATTTGCATATATAGTCATGATCTGCCTATATATGGTCATAATATGATGTCATCATAACAATATTTAGGCATATCACATGCTTTTATTAAATAAATAGTCTGCACAGGTCTTAACATTATCTTGAAAAATTTAGTTTAATAAAGCAACTGAGCCCACTAAATGATAACTAGGATATTTTCCCTGAACAGAAAAGCTAGTGATGGTATTGTGCATAATAACAAAATTTCATCACGCACGTACATCCAAAAGTTTAAATTTGGTCTTGACTCCCTTTCAAGACAACCCTGAGGTCATTTTTTTCCAAGACATCTATCTAAATGGTCCCTTCTTTCACATCCTAGTCATTCAACCACATTATGTTCATATAGGCACCAGCAAACCTTTACAATCTGACAATTATTTTACACCTAATTAATTAATCAACAACTTCTAATCAGAAAAACAACTCACATACCAATCCTCCAATATTTCATAAATAAACCAGATAAAAATGTGAAGCACATAATAGATTTCAAGAGCAAGGCTTTATGATTCAGTATGTGTAACTAAACTCATCGCAGACGTAATATTAGCTGTAAAGCTTACCATTCCAGGCTGTGATTGGGTTGATATAAACAATATGGAATATAGAGGCAATTTTCAATCTGACCAATGACGAACACGCTTTCATAATCTCTTTTCAATGGGAAGAGATACGATATGAAACACACAATTTCACATATTTCCCGACAATATTTTCGCAAAACTCTTTATACTAAAATTTCTCAAGCTTTTTCTTCTATATTATTGCAAGATCAGCCTAATCGCGTCACAAACGAAGGCCCTGATAGAAAGAAAAATGTCTTCAAAATTCACTCAAAGTCATAGTATAAGCCCTCTCCATCAAGAGAGTGAGCTAAAAACTTACTAGATCAGGAGCTATGTCCAGGTTGGTGCAGAGTTCCTGAAGCCGTTCGTAAGCGAGATGTAATACTTTGGTGATGTAAACATTAAGGGAAGGTGAGCGGGTTCCTCGTGCGGAACATGCTGCACTGCTGGACTTTGGTGAAATGGAATGGTCCTCAGTACTGCTACCAGCAGATCCGCAAAAAGAGCGAGTGGGCGTGCCCTCTCCCACTTTAGTACTGGGCTTCAACGGGGATTGGAACCTACAGAAAGAGACACTTTGTTACAATACAACATTTAAAACATATTAAATTGAAGCAGATTTATAGAGGAGTTTTGTTGGCAAACATGAGTTTTCATATATATTCTGTTTATTGATTACATAAATTTTTGCCACTACTGTACTATTGTTGTAATACTGAACAAGCCATGATGGTGATGTAAGCCTGTGTTTTTTAAACAACAGTAGTCTTCAGGTTATCTAATTATGTGTTTCACAGGCTAAATATAAATTTCATACAATTACATTACATGATCTCATAGATTACAGAAATTCATGATGGTGAACCAATCAAGATTGGCTAGTTTTGCTATTTGTGTTCTTGGTTAGTATAAGCAAATCTCATGTTTCTGTTTTATTTTTGTTCATATGAAAAAAAACAGAAAAAGAACTAGTGCCTTTTATTACAATATTCTATATGACATGGTACGTTACATTTCAGATGCGGTGTTCTTTGGTATAGGTGTTGTACAAGGCTCTCCTGAATTTGGCGGCTGGAAACAAAAAAAACAAAGATTTAGGTATAAAAATAAGGGTAAAAATTGAAATTGAATCAATTGAAATCTTATGCAGTGCCTTCAAAATAAATGTGCACACGATAAATACAATTAAGCACCTAAATTGCTTAATTGTCAAGTGGCTGAGCAGTAAGGCAGGGGCGCTGCGCAGTTAACTAGTCTTAAAAACGGCACTGGTTTCAGTCGCTCCCGGCCCAGTGTTTGGTTGGTTTAACAAGTCTTCTCAGATAAGGGCTTAAAATAGAGGTCCAATGTACATATCTGGCTTGTGTGCACTTTAAAGAACCCACTGCACTTTTAGAAGATTAGGGGGTATCCTGATGCTCTGGTTCATTTCAGCCCCTGTCGTTGTGGAATGATGTGAACATGTGCCTACAAGTGCCTCTTTATGGCGACCAGGTAGTCACAAAGCAGACCCATACGCAATTCAGCACAATGACGCTGAGAGTTATGGGTTATTCTCCTACCTTTACGTTTTACCCTATTTTTTAAAGTGAAATTGTCTTTGCAAAAAATAAATATAATTCTTACTACAAAAGGTGAGGTAGTTGATACACTGACATAATTTGACATAGCGTCGAATAAAGGAGACCCGCTCTTCCAAGCTAAGCTGTCCAAGATCATGGCCTCTACATTCTGAAGATGCTGAAGGTAGAACGAGACATACATCAAAATTAATCTATATTTTTATAAATGTACTCTACTTGTGATATCACGATGCCTTATACAATCTTTCAGTTTCTTTTATATAAAATAACTGTCAAAATAGTCGAATCCCATCTCTGCTACGTTTGAATCCCGACACAAAACCCATACCGATTCCACAGACTCGAGAAATTTTAAAACTGTGTTTGCATCTGGATCACCATTAACTGTAATTGTGAACTTGAAATATGCCTAGAATGTCACGGCATATATTGCAAACATGGAAGACACAAGTTATTTAATAAATATATGGATACATTTATGCTCAATTTTGTTTTGGTTGGAATACCCACTAGCATTGTTAAATAATTTTGTCAATAATTAATACAATTTGGTCTAATATGATCCTGATGTAAACAAAAATATAGTGTTTGAATATACTCACTTTTACAGCATCTCTGGTAAGTTTAGTTTCTTCCTTCAAAAATGTCTCAATGACCTTACAAAAGTCATAGGCTTCAATTTTGAAGACACCCAAAATCCATGGAAAACTCACACTACATTCATAGTTGCTCAAGTTATTCAACGAAGGGGATACTACAATATAAAAAATATCTATATAAATATAAGCAAGTAATCTCTTCATCCAACAGTGACTGTTATGTACCCTGGTGGAACAAAGCACAACAGAATTCACCAAACAAATCTACCATTTACTATGCTGCACAATTAGTCATTTAAAATCATGTTCAGATATAAGTAACCAACAAAGTAATTAGTTACACACTGTATACCTACTTACCTAGCCCCAGTACTTGCATATTTTCAAAATTTAATTTTTTTTACAGAAACAATAAATACACCTTCGTAAAAACTACAAACCAGGTCATTTATCTGCAGAAAATGTTAGTTTGTCGCTTGACTAGAAAAACAGATAAGAAATAAGGTACCATTGTCTATTCAGAGGTTGTAGATATAACATAAAATCTTATAACTAAAAGGAAACTATTTATCGAGCATATTTACTGAAACTGTTTACATCGCGTTATACAAACTTGAGCACTCTCTCTAATTAGATTAGTTTGTACTGCACACTGTAAGTCAATCAAATTGATTAAAGGTGTTTGATTGTTTACTCATTATGTGGAGTCACATATGTTCTTTAATCCAAACATTAATATACATTAATTTTTGTGGAATATATGAATAGCATGCCATTATTACAAAGGAATAATACAAGGCAATATATCATTAAAAATTTCCATTAATTGGACCAATTTTAGCAGCTGGGAGTTTGGCTTTTGTTATAACAATTGGATAATACACCCTGATTGCCTCCATGCTGGCTTTACCATCTGGTGTAGTGAATAAGTAGCAGAATTTGTTCTTCAAATTCCTCCAATGATACCATGTCCTTTATGAAGTTAACATTGAGCAATATTTATGCCAGAAATACATTAATCATCCTTGGGGATAATAAATAAAAATAATTGGAGTGACTTACACAATGTTCCATAAGTGAGAAGCACAACCTCCAGTGAGCAAGCCAGGAGCGATTTATGAAAGGTCTCATTGCAAAGTAACTTGCTGAAATTGGTTTGTTTCAGTCGTTCAGCCTCCTAGTAAAGAAAACAATACAAAAAAGTGTTAATATTATTAAATTATTAATTATTTATTATTAATAAATATATTTACAATATTTATGTATCTGTTTGCCATTTTGTGTTCCCACCAGTAAGTAGCTGTTGGACAGGATAATAAATAAATAAATAGAACAAATAAATAAATAAATCGATTCATTAATTATTTAAATTTCACATTTGACAGAGGTAAAAAAAAAAATTCATAAATTGATGTTGAATGTAAGTGATTAAATAATTAATATCTTCATTTAGAAACTTAATTTCCAACAAGAAATAAAATGTAGTAGTGAGAAAAGGGACCTCTCCCCTGATTTAAAAAATAGACATTAGCAAGTTTCAAAATTATACCATATTGTAAACAAGCTCTAGTTCAGCTTTGGGAAATAATCTCAGTCATGTTTACACAAAATCATGCGCCACTAAATATATTGTTAACCTCTGTTCTTATAAAACATTATTAGGGAGCTTTTGATTGCACGACGACGTAGAACGTAATGACGACACTAAAAGTCATCTGCGCATGCAAGAACGTTAAGGTCACCTCGTCGAGTAGATTCTGGAACGCAATTTGGCCAAATCCACGTATGCAGAAAACGTAGGATGCCAGGTAGGACGGTCACGCATGAGTGATTCCGTTCTAGTGTCGCGTGGTCGCACAAATCGAAAGCTCCTTTTGTCCTGAAGACGACTGAAGCAACTCAAAACGAAACGTTAAGATATTCTCAACCAACAACAGTTCTTTTCAGAACTATCTACGTGGTGTACCACAAGCATTAATATATATTCTGCTCTTATATTTATTCAAGATTCTCTTCTTTTTTTTTCTTTCTTAATATTTTTGCTTAGATTTATCAGTGTAAATTCCAAATGCATAGCCTTACTCATTCTTTAAACTTAAGGCACAAAAACATGCTAATTTAATTACGGAGGAAATTTGTTAAGAATGAAATTTAAATTTGTTAGGTTTACTTATATTTGACTCTGAAATAATACCACAAGTGTTTTTTATTTGATTTAATAATTTTGTTAAACTCTATAGTTTACACTGAGCTTGTTCCTGTCACGCACTTCAAGACTTGGGGTCATCACAACCAAAGCATGTTTGCACACCACCCCACTACCAGAATTAACCAATTGGCGGGCAGAATTTAGGAGGCGTGGCCTTCTGCAGCTTTCTTTACAACCAAGCAGCTCATGAGTATGTTATACATGTGTGACAAAATCAACAAACAGAAAACAAACAAAAAAGACTAACACTGGTGAGCATGGCTTCCATGACTCTAAAGTATAGTTTACATCCTATCTGGAAACGTTGCCTAGCAACCTCGTACATGTGGATACCCATGGTGGAGGCAAAATTTTGGATAAAGTCACGCTCAAGGTTAGACAGCCGTTGTTTAATAGCACTTGTAGGATCTTTTTGACATTGCTGAAAAAGAAAAAAAAAACAATATATCACATATCCATGCTAGCCTATTAATTTCACTGTCATATTGTTCTTGACAAATAAAATGCATATTGTTTTCATTAATTGTGCCATGCAAATAAAGCATTATAAAAAGTGTATCATTATCATCAGAATGAGAGGGCTCAACCAGCTGGGAGCAGAATCAAATGAAATGATGTACACAAACTTATGGCAGTTGTAATTTGTATTTATATATATAAATATCTTATTATATTCATAAAAATGTGATTGTTTTTCATAACAATGTCACTGTGTGGATGAGGGATTAACAAACAAGCAAGCCCAAAATGGCATAGTTGGAAAGGTATACCTCTGCCTACCTTAAAGTACTGAAGAAGTTTAGGTGAAGGAGATGCACTACAGCTGTTGAGAAGGTTCTTCAACCCCTGGATTGTGTTAATGGCTCTCCTGGCATTGGCATAAAAACAGAGGAGCATGCAAATAACAAGTCGAAGCATGACTAACTACACATAATCCAACAAATTAAAAACTGTGAAAATATGGGAATTATGATTGGTTGCTTTTTGTTTTTAGATTTTAAATTATAACCTCATTCTAACCATACTTTAGAATATACAATCTGGTTAGAAAAAGGCAGGGGTGGACTAAAAGTCAGTTGGAGGGCCAATGTGAATTTTTGATTTACCACTGAGGGCTGCACCCAAATTTTGATGTTTACAGTGTGCTTCCAAAACCCTTTATGCACTGTTTTTATTCTGCTTTATTCTTTGTTTTAACATACCTTTTTACAATAAACAAAGAAACAAAAGAAAACAGTCAACTCTAGATTTTGGGTTCAGGCAACACAAACTTTTATGGCCTCAAAGACGTTACTGTTTCAAATATTTCTGGCATTTTCTTATGTTATGTAATGGGTAACATGAAATAAAATAATACATTAAATCTACAGACAAATAAAAAAATAACATACTTAACTGGAGTCTCTACATCTCTTGAGTACCTGGCTGTAGAGTCTGGCGGAGTGAGTGGAGGGCGAGGTTTTTCAGGAAACAGATAGCTTTTCCGCAATAAAAAGTGGAGTTCATCAATGTCCTTTGTTGACTTGTATACTTCCTGGTATTGCCGTTGCAGGAAAGCTATCTGTAGAGGAACAATGTTAACATTTGCTATCCTATCAGTGGCGTATCAAGGGGGTGCACGGGGGAAAACACCCCCCCACCACTCGCAACCACCAAAAATCACTTGCAATTAGTTAAAAATCACCATATTTTGTGAGTTAGCAACTGATGATCGAACCTCCCACTTCACCTTCGCACCCCCATTAGCACCCCCATTTTAAGACTTCTAGATATACCACTGCATCCTATTGATAATAAAATAAACCTTTGTGTTTTTCCACCAGACAAATTTATTTGTGCTACACAAAAACTTTCTCTGCTAAAAAAGTTGTGAGCAGTTAGTCATTTTTCACCTTTAATAAGCGAAAAGTTCTTGTTATTGGATTTTCTAAAACATTGCTGCCGCATGGCAATTGTATTGTTGGCCTACTATGTTTGATTCTGTGCACATGGAGGCGATAAAATCTTTTCCTGAATTCTGATTGGCTGTGCATTATTTCTCTTTGCAAAAAGTAGAAACTCCAATATTTGACGACACGAACCACCAAAAGCGAAAAGGCAACAATCTTGCAAAAGGCTTGCGCATGAAAATTAAACTGCGCATGCGTATGGTCAAATGCTCTCGCTTCGTGAGAATAAATTTGGAAAGTGGAAAACTGGCTTAAAGACACAGAAATTTCATACTGAATTGTATTTTGGTGGTAAAAAAAATTATGATCTTGTGATATGATTTCCCTATGTAATTCATGCTCATGAATAATTAACAAACCATGTATTAAATCTGGTATAATCTGTTACCTCAATTACTATTTAAAAAGAATTGAAATCTCACAATATTATTAAAGCATTTCCAAGAAAGGTACTACCATTCCTACTATATCATGTGATAAGTGCATAGAGGTCATGATTTGCCACTTTATCATCTGTATCAAAATATTGAAATTTTGTCACTCAATGGTGAATGCACACAGACAATTAAATTACTTTAAAGTACCATCAAGGAATTCCGGAATTTGCTGGGATGCGGTGGGCTAAAAACGTTGATGAAATGCCTTCATGATATATCAATATGTAATTAAACTTTCTTCAAACAAAATATAATTCCCCTCACTTTACCTCTGTTAACTCAGCATAAGCATCCTCAGCCTTCTTTTTTTCCAGTGTGTCAAGGAATGGTAGAAGATGATGCATCTGCATGTTGGCCACATCTTGGTAATCTTGCACACAGTTGACATGCTCACAAAGAATACGCAGCACACTTGATGGCTCTGAAGACTGTGGGAGGTTTGAGGGTCGGGTACCTTATAAACCAACAAATAAATCACATGATTCAACAGGGTAAAAACAACAAATCCTATTTATTTTTATATTCAACAATGCCACTTTTCCTGTTGAGCCTTCGTTTCCACATTTCATCCACATTCACCACAAAGAAATCATAAATCTTTTAAGTACTACCTTTTACACAGAAAAAGATGACAAAATAGATTTAAAATTGCAATAAAGATGACTGTGTAAGGAATACATTTTTGAAATGTATCTTTTTAAAGGTTAAAATAAAGTGAAGAAAATAGTAGGAGATATACAGTAGAGAGCAAAAACTAAAAAAAATGTATGTATAAATGTGAAGGAAATAAAGTGAAGAAAATATAAATAATAAAAAAATAAATAATAAAAAAAAAATGAAATAAAACAATGTAGTAAAGCTAGTAGAGGTTGTCTGGATGTTTAAATTCAATAACTCATTTTGGTAATATAATATATGTGTAAACACTGCCTCCGGAAGGATCATTATGCTGGTGCCAAACAAGATGGAAATGTATACTGTACTTTGTCATCATTGTATTTGTTTTTTCTAATTGTCAAGTTGACCTTACCTATTCGTAAATAAACTGATGTAACATAACAATTCATTAGCATTACATTAAAATTAGTAGGGCTGCATCTGGTCAGTTAATATTATTATTAATTAATTATCATAAATATTAGCATAACTTAGGACAACTTTAAAAAGCATGCACGAGTTATGCATGACTGCACACAGTGAACAGTATCAAAATTTGTTTAGTAACTGAAGTAATGCAACAAAATAATTACTTTGTAGTATTAAAATGCAGTAACAAAATATAGCTACTCAGTCAAAATAATAGTTAATTAATTTCTGACATGACAAATTATTGATTTTCTCAAAATAATTAACTTGCAACATGAGATCATTTTATAAGAACATGTCACATTTGTGAATGGGACTTTTGTTGTACTTACTAAAACGTTCTCGTAGTAAGAACACTGGAACTTGTTTTATGACATGGTCGATACAGCCAACCATCAGTTGAAATGAGGTCAGCAGGTCATTGCAGTTGTCAAACAGCGAGCCTTTAAAAAAAAAAATCAAAAACAAGAAAAACTTTAATTTCACACATTTTGCACTTGCTAAAAAGGCACACCTCGCACATCAATATGGATTTGAATTTCACATGGTAATGGTTTACATTATTACAGCTATCACAAACAAAAATGTAATGAACAGAAAAAAAAATGAGTAAGAGAAAAAAAATTGTAAAAACTTTTTTGTCCTTCAAATTGAAATGTCTCACCGGTGTAACAGCGCAGCCACTGTCCTTTATTCATCTAATTTGGAGGTCATTCAAAGAGAAGAGGAATCAGACCCCAATTAAAAACCAACATTATCCAGATGTGGTCTTTAGCGCCAGAAGCAGTAACATTAGCTCTCAGCGACATGCTCAGCTCAGAAACCATTCATGGATTCAAATATAAATATATCAAGCTCTGTCCACTCTCAATTTTCATTTGACAAAAACTGTTGTATGCCCATATATAGTCATGATCTGCCCATATATAGTCAAGATGTGCCTATATATGTCGTCATGATGTGATGTCATCATGACCCTATCTAGGCATGTCACATGTTTTTGTCAAATAACACTTTATGGTTTGGACAGGGCTTGTTAAGCTACCTTTAGTAAGGATAAACATTGTCCAACACAGCTCGGTGTGCTTGATGAGTTGAGAAGACAGAAGTTCACGATTTGCATAGTTGTTATCCATTGCATCCTGACTCTGGAAAACGTCCCGGAAAATACTACAAAATTAAAAAGAAAGAAATTTAAGTCCGAGCAGAATAATAATAAACACTAATAACAGAAAATAATACTTAAAACAATTCTCAAGCCAAATTCTGAGAAGCATTCTATGAAAAAACAATACAAACTCTGCTAAAAGTACATTCTAACCCACTTTGGGGCCATAGGCAGTGCTGATGTTTCAACACAATGGGGTATTTAAAGAATTTTCAATACCATTTTTTATTACTTCAGACACATTTTTATATAGATGCAGTTTAATATTATTTTGTGTTCTGTGATAATTACCTCAATTATCATTTTTACTTTCTAAAAAAGGTGCTATACACCAAAGGCACAACTGACTGCCTGGGACCAATTGGAGGATAGATCAATCCCTCACTGACTACTAGGACCTATTTAGAAATATAAACCTTTGCATTATAGATTGTGTGGAGTCAAAAACAAACCAACCAAAAGGTGGATGGATGTACAGTATCCGAATAATAAAAACTTATTCAGATGGCAATGGATGTCCTCCTGTAGTTGCATAATATAATTTAAAAAGAGAACATGGCAAAATTCAAGAAATTCACAACACAAACATAAAAAACAAGGCATACAAAAGGCATGTAATAATGGATAAAAAAAACCACAGCACCAGACATAAAACCTAAAACAAAGATGAAAATGGAAGAAATGAAAAAGGCATAAAAAAAAACACATTAATTAAAAATTGTATAAAAGATTACAAAAAAATTTACATAAAGACATCAAAACCAATAATAATAATAATAATCAAACATGCAGGATAGGGGACTGTGAGCCAGCCAAACACAAGAATTACCACATCGGCCAATTAAGGGGGTCCAAAGTTACTGTAAGTAAGCAGGCAAATATTAAAATATATATATGTGTACAAAAGGAAGCTAACCGGAACCAAGCAAATATTATTGGGGTGTAATGTTCATTTACGTACAGCAACAGCAGCAGAAATGATGGTCATAGTAGTAATTTATTTCAGGTATATATTTATTCAATCAGACATACAACAAAATAAATTCATTACAAAATTACTTACCGTTCCATCTTTTGAAATAGTGCAATTGCTATACAGTACTTCTGCTCTGCCTTTAGGAGGTGGTCAATCACAACGCGGCTTAGCATATGTTCAGCTTTCAACGTATTCATTTTTTTAAAGAACATTACAATACTAAAAGAAGAAGAAAATCATATTAGCTTATTAAAATAAAAGAATGGTTGGTCTTGTTTCACTATCTATCATTATTATAAACCACCACTATAATATCATTTCTTGTAATTACCATCGCCTCTCCTCTCCAAAGGAGAGGTGAAAGGTATTGCAATAGTGCGTAGTGCGCATCTGTGTGTGTGTGTCTGTCTGTGTGTGTATCCTTCCGGGCGCATAACTAAAAAACTACTGGATCGATTTACTTAAAATATTCACACACTGACAATGTTACATGTATCCTCCTCAAATGTGGTGTTGATCGGAATTACTGTAAGATGCAGATTTTAGAATGTTATTTATATATTTACCCGCCCCTACAGTCGACAGAGCCAACTCAAGCAGATTATTTGGCTAGGCCGTGCAGACACGAGTGAATCGACAGCAGGCAGGGTGGGTGGTGGGGGCAAGTCAAATTGTGGCCGGCGACCTATAAGCGGTGCAGCCAGAGTGCAAACTCGCCCAATTGATATTATAATATTTAAAGTATTTTAGACGAGACTTATTTTTATAAATTGTTTAGCAAACCCTCCACCTGCCAAATATGGTGATTTTGAATAAAAATAAACTTATATTTTTGGCCAGTTAGCCAACAACATGGAAATTTTACAAAAAAATAAAATTTTATTTTTATTTTATTACGCCTCCGCTCCCCTCAAATTTTATTCTTATTTTCTTCTTTGCCTAGATGGTTTTTGGCAAAATCATTTTGTTAGATAATGAAAAAAATTATTTTATTTATATTTTTTCCCATTTCTCTGACAATCTTTTAAAAAAAAAAGTCGCAAAACAAGGTATAAAAGAGTCTCGCCTTATAAAGACTTCAAAATCTAAATGGTCGTGCATAATAAAAAAAATAAGTGGGACTTAACCCTGTTTGATTTACTTCATGTTTGATATTTCCAATATCTGAGTGATTGATAATGTAGGTCCACCTTGACTTCCTTGTTCGCTGTTGGAAAATTAAGCATAAGAAAATTTTTGTAAGCAAATAAACTATTTTATATTGCTTTTCAAATCATTATTTAAATACAAATGCAAAGTGCTACTTCAAACTGATATAATTCATAATACAAAATCCATCAAAAAAGTTATAATAAAAAAACATAATCTAAATCTACTGTAAATTAATAAAACACAAGTTGAAAATAATTGCTGGTATATTGATTGTTCAATCATTATGGGTTATGCTTTCATCTAATTTATTCAATTAATTATTTATTTTATCTATGGTACTGTATTCAACATTATCACATACACATAGTAAAATATACAATCAAATATAGAAATATAATTAAAAGATATAGAAAAATGCATTTGAATGCAATGTTTCTGTAAAAAGTTTCTCCAGGAAATATAACATATAAATGTCTATAGTGTATGCTGAAACCTACTCTAGATGTTGAATTTGACTGTAATTTGTTATTGACAATGTTAATCACCTAATTTTTTGTTATGCCTTTGCACAAACTCAAGCCTAACTGAATGGGCCACTAAATATAAATAGAAGCCAAAATAGTATATAAGAAATACACTAACCAATACTCAATCACAGTGACATATATGGCACAAGGAATCCATGAGACTGGTTGAACCTGAAAATACAGAGTACATCACATACACAAAGTTACACTCACTCGTTGAAACTTCAATGCTACTGCTTTAAGCAGGTCAATGTCATAAAGTAGGTCAGGTGTATATAATAAGTAATTTTTGATGGGAAAGAAAAACGGAAGTGTGATTGCTCTTTATAAAATGGGTTTGGACTAAGCCAGTGTTATGCAAACCTTTAGTGGAAATGCATGAAATTCAGACATGAGCCACATCCACGTCTGACATGCATACCAACAGATGCAAAAGTTGGAGAGAAAGGCAAGTCAATGTGTCAATAAATTTCAATTAATTGACAATATAATATCTTATGCCATGGTCTTTGATTGTGTGTGTGTTTGTACAATGCTTATGTTTAAATACTCCAACATCAGTGAGAGGACCATGTGGTGTTGTATGGATAAAATGGCTTAATACAATAGTGTGCTTTCATAATGGTATGGGTGGGAGTAAACCTGAGAAAAATATGTTTCAGTCAAGGGTCAGAGTCAATAAATTTATAAATCAAACAATAAAATGATTTTACTTTGAGTTCCACACATGAACAGTCCATCCAGTCTTTCCAGATGAGTTGAGCTTTGCGTGATAACTCAACCGAGATCTCAAGCTGCTTACAGATTTGATTAAACTCTTCGTCAGACTGCATCTTGCTCCTGAATAACATAATATTAATCACAGCAATAATTAATAACAATAGAAATATATTATTAGCCTCTTCCTTATCAACACCTATATTCGCTTCAATTTAACACATTTAACTTTTCCTAGCATCTAGATATTAAATCACATAATTATTAACTTTCGCTGATGTCTACACCTGGGTAAATGTTTATTTACAATCCAGCCAAGTTTGTTATAAATACAGACCTAGAAAAGGCCTATATAATAATGTGTTAAATAAACCTGTAAAAAAAGTGCATAGGCCTAGCTAAGAAGCCTTGGCCAGTTATGAAAAAATTGCTCTTTTGCATGACTAGGCAACAGTCATGGATATTAATATAAATATAATAATTAATATATTAAAAAATAGACCTATCATCATCGCCCACAATTACCGTGCAAAAGGCAGCAGAATGCAATTATTTACAAATTAATTATAAAACTATACGGTATATATTTTAATTCTAAATACAAAAGAAAAAATTGTGAACATGACTAAGAGTCAATGAAGTTAAAAAAAAAAATTACAATTGGCTGGATATATGGTGAAAAACAACCCAATAAACAAGCCTGGTGAACTAGGTACTTTGTAGGCCAATGGGATCACCATCCAGGCTGGCATGAGCATGAAGCAATCACCAACATTGACATAATTTTGCATAAGCCAGCAGCAGCTATACAATATCTTTTTTCTTTATATAGGTTTGACTGATTTCATTTTGAATTGAAAATAGAAATGAAAGCTAAAGTAGTAGGCTACTGTAGGTACATACAAGTGCGATAAAAATGTACTCCAATACTGTACAAACTTTACTTTCATGTCGCTTGGGTACCACTGATATTGATCCGATTGAGGGCCTACAGTAGTTTATTTTATATTGAAGGCCACGTTTATTATTTATTTAACTCACACATATTTATAGTTTTCCTTATTGCTTTTTCTAAGATTTGTATGATTTAATATATATTGACTAACTCACACATATTTAGAGTTATCCTTTAGTTTTTTTGGAGATTGGTATGATTAACAATATATCGTTATATAAGTTAGTCATATTGTATCAAACTGCATTGTAATACTGTTATCTTTTGGTGAACGTATCATTTAGCTAATAGGTTTTGTAGAGACGCAACTGGTGTATCATTATTTCAGCCTTGTGACGTCAGTTCTGGAGGTAAACAATCGACAGTGACAAGCGGCTAATTAAACTGGTTTAATATAAAAGTTGCTTTTTTCCTTAAATCCCACTTTTTGTGCGACGCAACATCAAGAATCTAAGGAAGGCCTAGGCCCTGCTCTGGGTGGCATACCAATCATAAACTAATTCCTCCATGGTCAAGTTCTCAACCCCCAAAATCTCATCCCAAGTTTTAGTTCAAGAAGCCTATGGTATAATATATTCAAAATTACCATGCTTTACAATCTGGCCAACACATTCATACGCTTTCAATGCACATGCATAACCAATACCTCCTTGATTTACCCAACTTTACATAGACTTCGTCGCTGTTACTTTCACCAATCGTAAACATCATTCGTTCGGTCAGAATTCATATCAAGAAAATGAGTTTCCACAATCGTGATTATTAGTGTCAAATTTGTCGAATATATTTTGATGAGGCCCTTTAAGAAAATAAAGTGCTAGTAATCCTATAAGAATCCTCTTATTTACAGTTTACAGTATATTCAGTTTTTTAGTGCATGTGTTGTCATGTAAATAGATTAGACCAAAGATTGAGCAGTATGTCAACTCTCTTATAAGCGAAGGCATAAACAAGCTGGCCTGGTCCTACGTAATGAGGATTAATATTCCATGATATGGCTATATATATAGATAAATGACATGACTCTTATTACTGAGTGGAACCCTTACGCTGCGCCTATTTATCGATGACAGCATTATAAGAAAATAACTATACTCTTGCATAGCTAATCAGGTGCTAGCCAAGTACTTATTTATTCGCAAGCCACACCGCTCCCCTCACACTATCTCACACTGTGGGCGATTTGCAATGCCGGTCTTGAAAGATGACGTCACACACATTCTGGCTCTTCATTGGGTGTGGTGATGTAATGCCATTTGTCACACCTTTTTAGCAAATTGAAATAGAAATGCAGTACCGTATTATATTTATCTATCCATGGCAAATAATGTATAAAAAATATATATTTTAGCTTTCTCACATTATTTATTTCTTCAAATACTTCATAGAATATTATATGTTACAACATATTTCCCTCTCTGGATCCTGGCCTAGGCCTAGTACTAACCTAACCTGGTCTAGGCCTTTAAAACTTCGCCCTAGCCTAGCTGGCTTTATAGGGTAGACTATGCTGCGCCTAGTACTATAGTAGGAGGAGGCTTGGCACGCCTCCTAGCTGACTAGGCCTAGCCTAGGCCTAGGCACTGCTCAGCTCAGGCCAAATAAAACTATTTTGCAAGCATACCTACATCCCCTATCTTACAAAATATACATACCTATGATTTATGTAATTGTATAACTGATCATGTGAATACTTTCCTGAATAATATAATTTTAAAGATTTATTTATAACCGGGCGCGGCTAACAAAATACTCCTGTAATCATTTTTTCCGGCCGAAAGTCTGTAATCATGAAATCCCCGCGAAAGCGCAACACTATAAAGCAATTTCATTGGCTGAACAACGGTTGGCGTATGTCATCATCCATCTTTTCCTCGTGACCTTTAAACGCTACTTCTTGTTCACCAAGTACCGTACTCGCGCGAATAAGCGCCCGGGCGCTTAAAATTATTTTTTGCATTTTCTGAGGGGCGCTTATTCAAACTGGGCGCTTATTTAAACGGGGCGCTTATGAAAACAGAGTGGAAATTGATGGGGCGCATATGAAAATATATGAAAATCGAGGGCCGGGTCACTTTTTATGGGAAATTATTTTGATAATTAAAGATTCAAGAGGCACTTTTTGAATGAAAAAAAGATTATATAAGGACATTACGAATGGTGGTTAGAAAAGATAATCGTCCAGAGAACATGGCTCATAACAAGAATGCGTGAATATTTACATTAACAGCAAAATAGCAAATGCAATTAGTGGTGGGTAGTGGTTAGCTTGTTGGCCATCCGGGCCAATTGAGATTAGCAGGATGGCAGGATCATTGTAATTTTCTTGAAAAGTCAGATGAGAATGTGCTTAAGGTCGAAAAAAGAAAAAGAGGAGTAGGACTATATACATAGACAAATATGTAAAAAGATTAAAGTTGGAAATATACTGTCTGTCCAGGGATCGGAGTTCTCATCTGTCCAGGGATCGGAGCTCTCATCTGTCCAAGAGAAATATCGAAGTTATTTTGATATTGACTGAAGAAGAATGTGTTTCCACTCTACTGCTCAAATCATGCCAACAACCACAGTCCCAGGATTGATTGGATTATGGACTTGCTAAAAAAGAAAATTAGAAGGGGCACTTATTCAAACGGGGCGCTTAAGGAAATTTTCACGTTAGGATTGGCGGTTATTCAAACGGGGCGCTTATTCACTGGAAATCTTAATGTATAAAATAAGCCACAGTACAGTAAAACCTCGAAAAGTACAGTAGCCCATTCATGAACTACGGTATTGTATGTTTATTTAGGATATTTGATTGCCTTCTTTTCAAAATACAGTGCACACCCCAATTCAAGAACCCTCGAGACCACTTTTCCAAAGACCTAATTTTCTACCTTTTAACAAACCCGAGACCACCCCAATTTTTTTTTTTTTTTATGGGTGTGGGGCGGGGGCCTTTTCAATGATGAATATGAATACAGGTCCCCATTAAAGAACCCTTTTGGGCCCGGGATTTGGTCTTTAGCAACTTTGGTCTGCTCTCATTAATGCTAAGGATAAAAGAAATTTGTTAATCTGGGACCACAGAAGGTTTCTGGACAAAACGGAAAACAACCAAAACGGCAATGACACCAAACGGCAATAAACCAAAACGGCAATGATAGGTACCAAAACGGCAATGATAGGTACCAAAACGGCAACAGACCAAAACGGCAAAGGAGCAAATCAATGTCAAGACTGAAGCGCCACTTGTTTTTTGTTTTTTTTTTTACATATCCATTACGAATTATTAATTATTAAAGTCTTATTTATTATTATTATTTTTCTTTTCCCGTTTTTTACTTTCATGACATAAATTGTTTAGCCTCATATTGTCTGTATTTTAAGGTTTTAATTATTTAAATGTTGTATACTGGCTGTATATTGTATATATTTTTTTCTTACTATTGAATTCGTATGTTGTATTTTTGTTGTTGTTATTATTACTATTATTATTATTATTATTATTATTATTATTATTATTATTATTATTAATATTATTATTATTATTATCAGGCCTAAGTGTTTTTTTTTTCTTTCGCGCTTTTTTACTTTTATGATATAAATTGTTTAGACTCATTTTGTCTGGATTTTAAAGTTTCAATTATTTAAATGTTTACTGCTTTTATATTGTGATTCCCCCAATCTTTTTATTATTGAATTTGTATGTTATACTATTATTATTATTAATATTATTATTTTTTGCATCTCTTATGGGACTGTACGTATGTTAGAGATATTTGGCTATATGTAAAAACATTGCTTCATATTGACCTAGATAAATGGTCCATGTTATTTGGTTTAAAGTGTGTTAGCAATAAGATGTTATTTAACCTTATATTACTCATTACCAAGTTCTATATTTTTACTTGTAATATAAAGGAGAAAAAACCAACTAGAGGCGAACTTCTTAATAAAATGAGATATTTCCACAAAATAGAAAATCTTATTTACAAAAGAAAACAAAATTTATCAAAATTTAAGGAAAGATGGGATTGTATAAATCATGTGTTGTAATTTCTCCGGATAAGTGTTTCCGGTTTAAATGCTACGATTTGCAAATTTGTTGATAAAATTGAAAGTCTGTTTAAAAAATCGTATTACTACCAAAAAACCAAACAAAAATAAGTTACAGGAAAAAGGGTTATTACTGTTTTCCTGTTTATACATGTTTACTTTTAGATTTGGCTTCAAATCTCTAGGGAAAACACCCCCCCCCCTTCCAAAAAAAAAGGCCTTGTATTGTTAGTTAAAAGAAAGCTATTACTGAAACCTTTTCTGAATTCTTTCAAAATAATAATTTAATTCCATATACTGTACTCCTTCCCATTTAAAGTTTGTCTGGTTTTTTGCATATGTTTCATAATTCATCTTAGTATACTTTTTGCGCGAGCAACACTGAAAATATTTTGTATCTTCTGTGGATTGAGTGTTTAGATTCTAACTTGCTATAAATTAAACATTGTTATGGGCTTGAATTTTAACTGAAATTGTGCAAATAATCCACGTACCTCTACCTTATTACTATTATCATTAATATTATTATTATTATTATTATTGTTATTATTATTATTATTATTATTATTATTATTATTATTATTATCAGGCCTAAGTGTTTTTTTTTTCTTTCGCGCTTTTTTACTTTTATGATATAAATTGTTTAGACTCATTTTGTCTGGATTTTAAAGTTTTAATTATTTAAATGTTTACTGCTTTTATATTTTGATTCCCCCAATCTTTTTACTATTGAAGTTGTATGTTATACTATTATTATTATTATTATTATTATTATTATTATTATTATTATTATTATTATTATTATTATTATTATTGATGTTGTTCTTCTTTCGCGTTTTTTAACTTCTATGACAATTTAGCCTTATTTTCCCCGTATTTATCGTTGTACACTTTCATGTTTATAAATGGTTTTATGTAGTGCCACATTGAAATTAAGTTTTGCTTTTTAAAGAAAACTTTCATAGACCATCCTTGCATCATCCTTTATTGTAATTTTTTTTTTTGCCTGCCTTGTGCTAATTTTATATGTTGTGTACAATGTTTTGATGATGAGAAATAAACTGAACTGATGATATACCAAAATAAATATTGAACCATAATGGTCTGTTATTTTTATTTGAGTACTTTTAAATGTTGTTATATTAGTAACAGCAGTTAAAATAAAAACTTCAAACCGAGGTAAATTATTGTTAATAGCACCTTAAAGGTCATTAAGAAGGTGTGAAATCATAAGGGAGTTTTCAAAGGTAACGCCAATGGAACGTTACTTTAAATGACCTTTTAATTTAAAAAAGGCGTTTTAAGCAAACTATTGTTGATTCGGTGATTCAATTATTAACTGTGTTGCCTAATTTATGGTCAACTGAACAAGATGATAAACAGTTTCATTGGACTAAATTCTTGCTTATGTTAACTACATGCTTACCTAAGGTTATACTGGCACTGGTTTCAAATCACGGTCAAGTAGTTAAAAGTCACCTAAAATCACCTTATTTTGCAAATTAGCGCCACTCAACTGATTATCGATCACCCTCCCACTTCGCCTTCGCCCCCATCATCCCCACCCACCATTTCAAGACATCTAGATAACTTCTAATGACGAACTATTGTCTTCAGTTGTCTTTGTTGGTCATTCAACTGTCATTTATTTTTTCGGTGATATCACCATTCTCAATAATCTATAAAACACCCACATAACAACGTCACGTTAGATCGATAGGTGGGGACACCGTGGTGACGCTGGTAGGGTCAATTTTCGTCGGAAGGTATCAAGATGATAAACAGTGTCATTGGACTCAATTCTTATGTTGACCACATGTTTATCTAAGATTATAAAAAATCACCTAAAATCACCTTATTTTGCGAATTAGCGCTCCTCAACTGATCATCGAGACCCCCTCCTCCACCTGTCTCTTATACACATCTAGATGTGTATAAGAGACAGTAACAAGAATGCGTGAATATTTACATAACTCTTCGGAAGGTATCAAGATGATAAACAGTTTCATTGGACTCTCTTCTTGCTTATGTTAACCTCATGCTTACCTTAGATTATTAAAAAATCACCTTATTTTGCGAATTTTCAGATTAATTTTCTGCAAATAAAGTTATACTAAATAACTTCTAATGACGACCTATTGTCTTCAGTTGTCTTTGTTGGT